AAAGAGACAAAAGTGTCAAGTGTCATAATCAATATTTTTTCCCTAAAACTAATTATAATTCGAAAAATTAATCCTGAATTAGTTTTTGTTTGCTGAGGTCGGTTAATCAGCGGTTAAAGTTAAACTCGGTCGACTCCAATTAGCGCGTTCGAATAAATACGGTTTTGAATAAGTTTAATTAATGTGAGAAAAGCGGTGGTCTTTTTGTGCCTGCTGCGACGAAACTTCATTCATTACTATAATGTGCGCATGAAGCGTGCGTTATTTTTCATTTTCACGGCTTTATTATCGATAAATTAACACGAAAAAGTTGCAATGGAGGCGCTTGTGGTAATTACACTTTATCAATTAGTATATTGCTCCACGAACGTTTTAACATTACCCACATGGGAAATATATGAGCACCAGAACGATGTTCCTGAATAACTTACTCAACTAAAACCGTAAAATTTTATGTTCTGAATTAAACAATTTTCACATTAACATAAAAGAGAAAATTCCCTGAAGAAAAGTCGGGGCTATCTGTCTAACAACACAAGAGCTCATTTCCAATTAATTCTAGATATTTTATTAAAAAATATTTGAATATAGCGTGATGAAATGAATGGAAAGAGACACGCTAGGCTGTTTACTGCCTTCTATAATTACGCAAATTTATCTTTCTCGTGTAATTTTCTCGGATCTTTAGGCACTTAATGGAAGGGTAAAACGCTAGCAATTATGCGTGTGTGTAAGTGAGGCTTTTTATCTAATTCAATCGCGAGAAATGATGCTACAAGCAGATAACATTTATAATATTTTCGATAAATAGATTAGGAGTATTTTTTTAGTTTGGTTATTTTATTACTTTATTCAAAAAAATTATAATTTGTCATTTAAAACAAAACGTCAAAAATTTAAAAATTTCATTGTGAAAGTGTCAATTGTCACTAATGTCAAATGACAAGTGTCAGATTTGTCACTTGATTAAGACCAGTTTACAAAAGAGAATTACTGAAAAACCTTCTAAAATATTTGAAAAATGCAAACATAATATAATTTTTGACTTAATTTGGTGTTTTTTAGTTTTTTTAGCAAAATCTTGCGAGAAAACTGAGAGTTTAGTACAAAAAAAATGTAGTTTTTTGGCTTATGTTTGACTTAATTAGCTCAAAAACCAATTAAATCGAAATAAACAAAATAACGTTAATTTCGATTTAATTTTGTAATTTTTCAGTCTGTTTAATAAAACTATTTTCAAAAACGTGTGTAAAAGACAAAAGTAACACCATTTTTGCCTATTTTGTTGGTTTTTTGGCTTTTTTTAACGAAATTTTTACGGTTTTTGTGGAAAAACCTTTTAAAACACCCGAGAAATGCAAAAACAAAATAATTTTTGACTTAATTTGTTGTKTTATAGATTGTTATATCAAAATCTCCCAAAAAACTGAAATTTTAGTGAAAAAACAAAGCATTTTTGACTAAATTCTGTGTTTTTTTAGCTTGTTTTTGATTTAATTTTGCTCAAAAATTTAATCTTTTTTAAATGCTTAGACAAGATTTTTTTGTAAATTCAAAAATAATATAATTGTTAACTTAATTTGTTGTTTTTTATTTGTTTTAGCAAAATCTTGCGAGAAAACTGAGAGTTTAGTACAAAAAAATGTAGGTTTTCGGCTTATTTCTGACTTAATTAACTCAAAAACCAATTAAAACGAAATAAACAAAATAATTACGATTTAATTTTGTAATTTTTCAGTCTGTTTAATGAAACTATTCT